AAAAAAAAAAAAAAAAAAAAAAATCGGGACTGTCCTGCCAAAAGCAGGATGTCTGGTCACCTTACAGTAACGAGGAAGAAGGACAAGGTATTCTGGGTAGAGCGATCAGTCTGCACATAGGACAAAACTATCCACTGAGTTTGTTAAGGGTAGGGGATTATTGGTAACTGGCAAGAGAGGTTTCTTGATTTGATGTGACAAAATGGAGACTACAATAGACTGAAAAAAGAATGAGAGCAGAGGAAATGTAAACCATTCTCAGGAAGTGAATGAAACCATTCTCAGGAAGTGAATGAAACCATTCTCAGGATGGCATTGACCAGTAAGTAAGTAAAGGAGGACTTGGGCCTAAGTATATTTCAGGCTGGGGGAAAGTTGAACCATTCATTCTCCAAAGCAGGAGTAAAGATACATACAGGTATTAGGATAAGTATGGAGGTGTTGGAACAGAGATAATGAGATCTCATCATACTTTTTTGACCTTGATTTTCTTTATGACTTAGAATATGAAGGTCAAGGCTAAGATTTAGAAGGGCCAAGGTTGAATAGGTTGGAGAAGGAGAGTGATAAATGTTTGGAAGAGTTGTGTAGCTATGAGGAAAAGCTGAACAAGGGCAGGTGGAAAGAGTGAGAACAGGTAGTCACAGCCTGCCAATGTAATCTTGTTCATATTAGTACCATTCTGAATAGCAGTGTTACTTTTCCATGGAAAAGATGAAGTCTAACCTTGATTCAGGTTTGGAGTTTGCTGGGCTAGCAAAGGTGCTGCATTAATTAATTCAGCTAATATTCAATCAGGGCTGTTATATGTTAGGCATTGTTCTAAGCTTTGGAACTCCAAAGGTGAAAAAACACATCCCTTCCTTTCAGAGAATTCACTGTCTCCTGGTGGACACTGGATGGGTGGTGCAGTCAGTAAAGGTAGTGTTAACAACGGAGAGAGATTTGTTCAGAGGGAGAAATTTGATTATGCAATCCAAGAGAGAACAAAGAGGATCCCAAAGGGAGCGATGGAATGGAGAAAAAATGAAAGGGTCAAGGACCTAGAGATTCCTGAAAGAATGAAGTGAGGGCATCATATAAAATGGTACAGGGTTGTGATTTAAGAGTAGGATAAGGACATTTACCATTTCTGAGCTATAATGATCCTGGGGGGGGGGGTGCTACGCATTCTTGCAAAGCACACAGAAGAGTGACTAGACTAGAATGAAGGTAGAGTGATGACATCTTTCCTCTGTCATGTGGCAGATAGGTCACCTGTTCTTTCCTGTCTCTTTCTCAGAGCTGTCTTAGCATTTTAAAAAGAGGTTACCAGGTAGACTATGTAGAACTTAGTGATTTATGGAATTGGTGAAGGGAGGGTGGGAGAAACAGAAACCAAGAATGCACTCTAGGTTTCCCACTTGGTTGGATGATAGCAGGAGAAGTGAGTTTAGTGAAAAGATAATGAATCTGTTTTAGACGTGTTTCATTCAAGATGATTACTGGTTTCCAAGCCAATATTTCCCTGTTCTTTAAACTTAAAAAAGTGGCTGCTTGTGTATTTATTTACACAAATTAACCATTGCCTCCTTTGTGCTGCCCCTGTGCTCTATGCAGATTTTTTTTTTTTTTTTGAGACAGAGTCTCAAGTTGTCCCTCTGTGTAGAGGGCTATGACATCACGGCTCACAGCAACCTCAAACTCTTGGGCTTAAGCGATTCTTTTGCCTCACCCTCCCAAGTAGCTGGGGACTATAGGCATCTGCCACAGGCCTAGCTATTTTTAAGTTGTAGTTGTCATTCTTGTTTGGCAGGCTTGGGCTGGATTCAAACCCACCAGCTCCAGTGTATGTGGCTGATGCCTTAGCCACTTGAGCTGCAGGTGCCCAACTTAGGAAGATCTTGTAATGCTTCTAAGGGTTCTAAATTCCTTAAGGGCAGCGGTCACTTCTTACAACCTTGGAGTTCAGAAGGATGCTTGCATATGGTGTTAAGTAAACATTTGAATGAATGCCACATTCTTTTGCTTCCTTACTGACATGTCAGTTTCCTTAAAGATCATTTCCTTAAGGTCATCTTTAGGTTTCCATTGCCTTGTACAGAGCCTGACTCATGGTAAGGGCTTCATAAACTTTAGCTGTTGTGTTGTTATTTTCTTTTCTTTTTTTTTTTTTTTTTGACAGAGTCTCACTTTGTCACCCTCAGTAGAGTGCAATGGTGTCGCAGCTCACAGCAACCTCTAACTCTTGGGCTTACATGATTCTCTTGCCTCAGCCTCCCAGGTAGCTGGGATTACAGGAGCCTGCCACAATGCTCAGCTATTTTTGTTGTTGTTGTTGCAGTTATCATTGTTGTTTTAGCTGGCCCAGGCTGGGTTCGAATCCGCCAGCCTCGGGTATGTGGCTGGCGCCCTAACCACTGAGCTATGGGCTCTGCCAGTGTGCTGTTATTTTCATCATCATTGTCATCATCGACTAGTTAACTTCCCTCATATTTTTGTTAAGCCTTAGTCCTGGGTGTTAAGAGGAATAATTTAGAGTTTTGGTTTTCTTTGGGGTAAGTGGGGGGGGGGGGTGCTCAATTTCAAATTTAGACATTTAGGTTTAATTTTCAAAAGCCAAAACTTTGAATGTAATACAAACTGACTTAGATGCTATTTACTTTGCTTGATTACAGATACATCTATATAATGGGAATACAAGAAAGAAATGAGAAATTGTTTTATAGAATACTGCAAGATGATATCGAAAGTCTAATGCCTATCGTATATACACCCACAGTTGGGCTTGCCTGCTCACAGTATGGACACATCTTTAGAAGACCTAAGTAAGGCTTATTTAAAAAAATATAATTGTAAATAATTATTATATTAAGGAAAATATTCCATAACACCTATTATATTTTTATTTTATATGTTGCAGTCTTATTCCAACCACATTTTTCACTTTACAAGAGTTTAATTTGGATTAAAAGGGATGAATAAAAGCCCAGCATATTCATAACTTTTATCTCTGTAGAAGTAACATTATTTATTCCTAATCTTCTCTAAATTATTGTGATTGTTAGAGGAATTGTGTACTTCTGGAACCAAAAAGTCTTAATTTTAGTGGTAGATTCTCTAGAATTATCACTGAAGTTTTTGTCAGTCTGGCCAAATTCCAGGATTGGTTCTTTCTCATTTTGTGTCTGCTTTAATTTCTGTTGATCCCCTTTGTTGTGAACTTTCATGAATTCTAATTTCAAATAGTTACAGGACCTCTGAACTTTTTAAGGGGAAAAAGGGAATGGAATGGGCCGTTCGTTGCCTTAAGTCCTTGAATGGGTCTTATAATCCCTTGGTTGTGTTTCCTCACATGTAAAGTGCAGATGGCAGTACCTGTCAAAGGACTATTGAAAAGAAACTGGTGCGATGATCCTTTGTAAACTGAAGGGCAGTATCCATGTATAAAGACTGTTTTTACTCAGCGCTTTCTTGTCTTGTTACTCTAACTTTTTATCGTTTTCTTCAATCCTTACGTTTTCCCCCTTACGTAGCTGACATATTGATACAAATGTAGGAATTTAAACGAGAGGTAACGGCATTTATCTTCAGTCTCCTGTCATCAAGTCTAGTGGCTTTCAAACTTGAATGTGCATAATAAACAACTGTGGGACTTATTGAAAATGTTATCTGCCAACTTTCCTCTTCTTCCCGTCCCCGAGATTTCTGATGACTAAGAGGTCTGGAGGCCTGGATTTTAGTGAACATCCTCAGTGGTTGTGTTGCAGGTATTCCCTGGAAGACACTGAGAAGCACCGTTCTAATCTATATGCTGCCATCCATTAATATATCTAAAACACTTCTGGGCTATAACCCAGCTGTTCAGCTCTTTTGTAGTTTTTAGTAGAATGGTGGTTCTCAACCTAAATTAAAAGATAAATGGAAGCTTTAAAATACTGATGCCTGAGCCCCATCTGCAGAGTTTCAGCTTCAGTTAGTCCAGACCAGGGCCCGGGTGTGAGAGTTTCATAACAGCTCCTAATCTGATTCTGATGAGCACCCAGAGTTGAGCCCTGACATGAAACAGAGAGCACAGCTTTCCAGTGAGGGCAGATACTGTGTATTATTTAGGCAGAGTATGGTGTAGTGAGTTTTTTTTTTGTTTTGTTTTGTTTTTTACATAGAAGATGGTCAGTAAATCTTCGTTGATTGATCCAAACTCAAAGCCAATTAAATCAGAATCGCTGGCGGAGGGGCCCTGGCATTTTAAAAATCTCACAAGATGAGTCTGTGTAGTCACGGTTGAGAAACTGCTGAGCTAAACTAACTTGAACTAAACGAGTAATGCCAAAGTTAAGATACCACTGAGAAAGTTAAATGTAAGAATCAATTTGAAGGCAGTGGGGAGGGAGCTGTTTTCTAGAACCTATGTTTCTTTTCTGTTATTCTCCTTTCCTCCTGTTCTCTTTTAAAATCTTGATTAATTATCTCAATTTAGAGAGCAGCATACTGTGTTTAAAATAACTTTTCCACGATGATAACATATTTTAAAACATGTTATACATGATAAATACAATTGACCCTTGAACAACATGGATTTCTTCCGCCTCCTTCCGCCTCTACCACCCCTGAGACATCAGCCCCTATTTCTCTCTCTATTGTTTTCAATAATATTTTCTTTTCTATAGATTACTGTATTATAAAAATATAGCATATGACACATATAAAATACAAAAATTTAAGTTAATCAACTGGTAAGTTACTAGTAAGGCTTCTCTGGTCAATAGTAGGCTGATAAGTTTTTGGAGAGTCAAAAGTTACACTTGGATTTCCAACTTTTGAAACATTGTTTGGGGTCATCTCTATATACTGTTTTGTCAATTAAAGATAAATGAACGAAAATAACTTTTTGCTTTGCCTCATGCTTTAGATATGTCATCTTTTATGCAAATGTAGTTTTCTTCCCTTCCTACTTCAGATTTCAAATTTTTGGTTTCAGTGAGTTTTGCCAGTAGTTTATTTGCTTTGTTTTACCCTCCAACTCTGGTGATTTATCTTTAGTTTTTTTGTGTATGTGTTTTGTTTTTTTACTAGAGATGTATTGAGTATATTTGAACATGAGATGTGGATACACAATCTTGGGTAAAATGATTCTGTCATTTAGCAGTAATCTTTGTGTAGCTGTTATATGAACAATGTAATTACAGTTTGAAATAGTTAAAAATGTTTGCAAATAAACCAGTGTGACTTAGCTAAATCTGCTTGGAAATTATACCGTGTCTTACTGTTTTATTAAAATATCTAAATGTTCCAATTATGAACAAAAACTTAGAAATAAAACTGTTGTGAAATGCAAAGGTGTTTTTGTTCTATTGCAGGGGATTATTTATTTCAATCTCAGACAGAGGTCATGTTAGATCAATTGTGGATAACTGGCCAGAAAATCATGTTAAGGTACTATTAGCACAACCCTCCTTTTCACAATGCTTTTTCTTTCCTTGTAAATTACCTCTAAATTTCCAAGAAGTTTTTCATTGTTGCTCTGATTTATTTTGCACTTATATACATGCAGATTTAGTGCTTTGTATCTGAGGCAATGATAATTGGTTACTGGTTTAGTGTTTGACTCTGAGGAAAAAAAATTGAAGCTGGTATACAAGATGAACTCTTTAAGTCTCAGTACCACTGGTGTCTCTTGCTTTCTCTATCTTCCTATTCTAGTTCACTATATTATTCTAGGTAGATAAAATATATTAAAATGCTATAAAAACTTTTATTATTCTGTAGGGTATTAGGTTTGGTTATGTCTTTTTTTTCCTTTAAGATATATTTGTATCCTTAGCAAATAGGAGAGTTTTTAATTTAGCAAATAGAAACCTTGGTCAGTCTGTCTGTCTGTCTTTTTTTTTTTTAAATCGCAGTTGTCATTGTTGTTTAACTGGCCTGGGCTGGGTTTGAACCTGCCATCCTCAGCGTATGTGGCTGGCACTGTAACTACTGTGCTATGGGTGCCGAGCCTTAATCTATCTTTCATAAAATAAAAAGTAATAACTAATTTCAAGATCTTTTAGTAGGCTGTTGTTTGTATTATAGGCAGCAGTCTTAACTTGTCTTTATTCTGTATGTATTCCTTACCAAAGTAAACATTGATGAACAATCATTAGTTTGAATAATCTAGAAGAATACTTCATCAGATAATTAAACTCACAGTACCATCTCAAAACCTTCTAGGTAGGTTTATTTTTGTCCTGGACCTTTTTCTCTCTTTCATGGTTGCTGAGGTTTTTCTTGTTTAGCCTAGGTTATTGTGTTGAAGTCTCGTGTTGTTTAATGCTAAACTCTAATTTTTCTCTTCTGGTAATCTCTCCATCAGAATTTTTTTCACCTCTGAGAAAATATTTAGTCTTTCTGAAGACATTTAATTTGGTCCTTGAGTCAAAAGCATTCTATGCTTTCTCTTCCTAAACCACAGTGAGAGGGAAATAAAATCTAGTTTTCTCTTCTTAATATTTCAAAATAGTCAGAAATCCTAGAATTTTAAGTATGCTTGGTTGGTTTACATTGGAAGTTAGCCAAGAAACAATTTTATTTTGAAAAGTGAGAGTAAAAATATATGAAGTGAATCGAGCTTTTTAAAAATGCTTTTCTTTGGTGCCCCATTTTTGACAACTGTTAATTTGCTTTTTTTTTTTTTTTTTGTGATTAAGGCTGTTGTGGTGACTGATGGAGAGAGAATTCTGGGTCTTGGAGATCTGGGTGTTTATGGAATGGGAATACCAGTAGGAAAACTTTGTTTGTATACAGCTTGTGCAGGAATACAGCCTGATAAATGCCTGCCTGTGTGTATCGACGTGGGAACTGATAATGTAGTGAGTAACATCATTCTCTCACTTTGGTCTTCCCTCTTTGCTTTTGAAACCCTTTACTTTTGAAACTTTTCAATTATATTCTCCTTTGGAAGAATTTAAATTTAAAAAGGGAAAATTTTTTGATTAGATGTTTGTCCTTTTCTTAAACTCTACTTTCAATAGTTGTATAAATAATAGTATGGTAAATTAAGTCTATTAAAAGTTTTTTATGGGGCTTTAAGTTTTAAAAATGGTATTAGTAATTATTTTTTACAGTTTTTGTTTTATATGTTTAAACTGGTTATACAATAAAAATGATTTTATTTTTACATGTGGTTTTTTTATAGGCACTCTTGAAAGATCCATTTTACATGGGCTTGTATCAGAAACGAGATCGCTCAGAATACTATGATGAACTGATTGATGAGTTTATGAAAGCTATTACTGACAGGTATTAAAAAAATAGTTTGAGTATATGAAAGCACCTTTAATGAGGTGGGGAGGAGAAACCATATCTCTGTTTTGCTTTCCGTTATCTCTTTTGAAGATAAGCAGGAGATTAAAGTTTTGAGAACTTTGGTTCTTTTCTGATTAGATGTACTAATGCATAGCTCTGCCTTGCTTTCCTGAGTTCCCTGACATCCTGAGGGAAGTCTGTCCTCACTGCGCCTTTCACACCTTCACTGCTTATTTTTTCATCCCTTGACATCTAATGGTGGCTCACCTCCACCATTCTTGCAGCTTTTCTGTTTTAAAGTCTCCAGCCATTTGGTCTTTTTTCTTCTCTACCTCTTTGCAACGTCTGACCAGGTTTTCCCATTCTTAGGCCTTTGAAACTCTTTAAGTGCTAAAAGACATTCCTAATTTGATCTTTCTGCCTTTTTTTAAAAAATCATCTTTACTCATTCTTCTTGCTCTCTTTATTAAATGTGGATAACTACACCGTCCTCTCTTTATCATGTGAACTATGACCTTGATGCATGTGATTCCTAAACCTATGACAACCTATCTCTGGGCCAGGTATGGTGCTTCATACCTGTAATGCTAGCACTCTCAGAGGCTGAGGTGGGTGGATTGCTTGAGCTCAAGAGTTTGAGACCAGCTTGAGCAAGAGTGACACTCTGTCTCTACTAAAAATAGAAAAACTGAGGCAAGAGGATCACTCGAGCTCAAGAGTTGGAAGTTGTTATGAGCTATGACACAAAGGCACTCTACCCAGGGTGACAACTAGAAACTCTATCTCAGGAAAAAAAAAAAAAAAAGAAAACCTCTGTTTGTAGTGCCCCAGCCCTTCTGAGGCCTGCATCTCTAGCAACTGGAATCCTCCATCTGGGTATTTTGTTGCTACTTCATATTCGTGTCCCAAACTGAACTTCTTCCCTTTCTAAGCAGCCTCTTTTTAATATTCCCTTCCTCTTTTATTGGTGACAACATTAATCCTGTTGCCAAACCTTTGATCTTGGTGTTATCTATGGCTTTTCCTTCTTCTCTATCACCCTGCCCCCCAGTGTGGTCAAGTATTCCTCAAATCTAGCTGATACTGTCACTTAAATGCCTCAGAAATCTGTCTTTTATTTTCCATTACCATAGCCTTGCTCTTTCCTTATCTCTCTTCTGGATGCTTCTAGACCAGTGGTTCTCAACCTTCCTAATGCTGTGGTCCCTTTAATATAGTTCCTGTGGGTCGGGACCCACAGGTTGAGAAATGCTGTTCTAGACCTTCCTTCAATTTCTCTTCTTTCCAGTTCATCTACACCTTAACATCAGATGAATATGCTAAAGGCATGCACTTCACTGTCTTGTTCTTTCACTCAAAATATTGGTATCCTGTTTCACAGGATGAAGTCCAAACTCTTTACTTTAATGATCTCATCCTAGCCTACCTTTTAAATTACTGGCACAAAGAAAATAATACCAAAAAAAATTTTTTTTCAGAGTCAAAGTTAATATATCTGGAGCTGAACTTTTTGACTTCCCAGAAATGGCCATCTCCACTTCTTGCTCTCACTTCTATACCTTGAACAACCAGATAGTATCTTCTTGGTCTTCCAGGTTGCCTTGACACTGAAACAACTTCTTCCACACTTCTCAGTTTGGAATTTCTGGGAATTTGTTAATTTCTGTTTGTTCATTCTGATGTCTCATGGTTACCTCCCTTTGCTTCTGGAATCTTCTGCCTCTGATCTCTTGTCCTCATAGCAGAGTAGCCTCCTGGGTGCTTCTGTCATTCTCATCTCTCCCCAGACCAGTATGTACTGTATATCACTGGCAGGTTTGTCCTTCCTCAAGGGAGTATGATGTGAATTCTCCTGTTCTGTGCACCCCTCAGTGGTTCAACCTGGGATGCAGAAGAAACAAGTCCTTATTCTCTAATTTGACATTCAAGATTCTTCCTTATTTGGCCCCAACCTACTTTAACCAAGTTCTCCCTTATATTTTAATATAAACCCTGAAATATATAGCCAGATTGTTGAAAAGTCAGGCTTACCCAGATTCACCTTACTTTTCTTAGTCCCAGTTCCTTTTCAGGCCTTCCCTTATTACTCTAACTCATGTAGATAGTGATGCCTTCTTTTTCTGAATGTCAGTAAACTCATAAAGCAATTATTTTTTAACTTCTTATTTAATATATACTTTCCTCTGCTGCTGTTTAACTCTTTATGTAATAAAAAATGCATATCAAATGTATACTTTTTGAGATTCGGAGATAGAGTCTTTTCTTTTTAGGAAGTTATTCTGTGTGTATATGTGCTGGGCACCCTCCTATGCACTTGGAAATAGTTTATACAGATTGATATCTCATGGGCCCATCATGGTACCACATTCTTTTTAAGCATCCCGTACTTTTCTTTTCTTTTTTTTAATGAATAGAGTTCTGCATTTTGGACCTAGTCTTCCATAGGCTCTAAAAATTTTCAGATGACTTTAATTGAACTGACATTATAGCATCATTTTGAATTGCTATCATAAGGAATATTGGACCTAAGAAAAGCTGTTTAATACTAATATTTTCAACACAACCATTGTGGATTTTTCTGTTTTTAGATATGGCCAGAACACACTCATTCAGTTTGAAGACTTTGGAAATCATAATGCATTCAGGTTCTTGAGAAAATATCGAGAAAAATATTGTATTTTCAACGATGATATTCAAGGTAAAAGAAAAAAAAACTTTAGATTTTTGATTCTACTTTTTAAACATTTTTATCTTGCCCAGTTTTAATTCATAAAAATCTTTTTCTTTTAGGGACTGCAGCAGTAGCTCTAGCAGGTCTTCTTGCAGCACAAAAAGTTCTTAGTAAACCTATCTCAGAATATAAAATCTTGTTTCTTGGAGCAGGAGAGGTAAGTTTTTGTAAACTTTCAAAAATTAGGCTCTGCGCCTGTGGCTCAAGCGGCTAAGGCGCCAGCCACGTACACCTAAGGTGGTGGGTTTGAATCCAGCCCGGACCTGCCAAACAACAATAATGGCTGCAACCAAAAAATAGCTGGGCGTTGTGGTGGACGCCTGTGGTCCCAGCTACTTGGGAGGCAGAGGCAGGAGACTCGCTTGAGCCTAGGAGTTGGAGGTTGCTGTGAGCAGTGAAGCCATAGCACTCTACCCAGGGGGATAGCTTGAGGCTCTGTCTCAAAAAAAAAAAAAAAAAAAAATTTAAAGGCAACATTCTCCTTTAGAATTGGAAACTAGGACAGAATGTTGCAGTTTATATGTAAAAGAGCATAATGAGCTTCTAAAATTGTGTTGAGATAGTAGGAATTCAAGACTTCTTTTGTAATATAATCAGTTTAAACTGTGCTCAGAGGGAATATCACCAAGAACATTTGCTTGATTGGTAAGGGAGGAATAAGGCAAATAGTACTCATAACATATAATAGTCATATATAAAGTAATTGAAGCATTGTATCATATTCTAATATTCTATTCCTAAAAATTTATGTTTTATTGGGCAGGCTGCTCTCGGAATTGCAAATCTTATAGTTATGTCTATGGTAGAGAATGGCCTCTCAGAAGAAGAGGCACAGAAGAAAATCTGGATGTTTGACAAGTATGGTTTATTAGTTAAGGTAAAGTATTTAAAATTTGGAGAAGCAAAAGAGTGTTATTATGATATTTTTAGTTGAATTCTCAAAATATATTGTCATTTCTTAAAATCTTGCATCTCACTGAGCTGTCCAAATTGGACCTGCTGGGACCTTCCACTGTGTTTTCAACAAAGATCTTTGTCAGTCTCAATTCTTGCTTCATACATAAATCACAGTCTCTATGTTGTTAGATGACTTACTCTTTCCTGTTCTCTTACTATTAAGAGAACCACTGCACAAGTATGATTGTTTTTGACCTTTCTAAAAATAGTTTTCTAATGGAAACTCAAAACTTAATTAAATTGTAGTATTGGCAGTATATATGACATTTGAGCAGAAATTCTTTAACCGTTTGGAAATCATAATGCCTTGTAGCAATCTAATTAAAATTGTGGACCCTTTCCTCAGAAAAAGCATGTACTCCTAAAACCAATTCATTGATAATAAAGCGCTTCTATTCCAGATTAACTTAGTACCCTTTGGGTCTGCCTACCTTCCTTAACATTGACTACCATTTTTATTATCTTAAGAATGTCATATCTTTTTTTTTTTTTTTTTTTTTTTTTTGAGATGGAGCCTCAAGCTATCCCCTGGGTAGAGTGCCGTGGCATCACGCTCACAGCAACCTCCAACTCCTGGGCTCAAGCGAGTCTCCTGCCTCAGCCTCCCAAGTAGCTGGGACCACAGGCGCCCGCCACAACGCCCAGCCATTTTTTGGTTGCAGCCATGATTGTTGTTTGGCGGCCCGGGCTGGGGATTCAAACCCGCCACCTCAGGTGTATGTGGCTGGCGCCTTAGCTGCTTGAGCCACAGGCACTGAGCCAGAATGTCATATCTTATACTGTGTAACACATTGATATTGTTTCATAGTTGAAGTTAACCAGTATATATGGCTGTTGTATTTTTGTATGTACACGTCATAATTTAATGCAGTTACCTGGCGTTGTATATCTATGGAGCAAGGGATCTCAATGTACTTGGCTCTAGTTTGGAAATCTTTTCTTTTTAAGTAGTATTAGTATTGTATTTGTACAAAAAGTAAAATTAAAAATTCAAGTGTGTCAACACAATAAGAAATGACATAAAGGGTATGTTAACTAGTTTGATGAAAATATTTCAAATTGTATATGAAAACACCACACTGTACCGCATGATTGCATTAATGTACACAGCTATCATTTAATAAAAAAGAAAAAGGCTTGGCGCCTGTGGCTCAAGCAGCTAAGGCGCCAGCCACATACACCTAAGGTGGTGGGTTCGAATCCAGCCCGGACCTGCCAAACAACAATAATGGCTGCAACCAAAAAATAGCTGGGCATTGTGGCGGGCGCCTGTGGTTCCAGCTACTTGGGAAGCTGAGGCAGGAGACTCGCTTGAGCCCAGGAGTTGGAGGTTGCTGTGAGCAGTGAAGCCATAGCACTCTCCCCAGGGGAACAGCTTGAGGCTCTGTCTCAAAAAAAAATTAAAAAAAAAAATAAAAAAGAAAAAAAATTCAAGTGTGTCAGTGAAACTCTTAAGTGCTTAAACTGTATATAATTTAAAACAATAGTAGTTTAAGCTGTGCCAGATATTGTAATAAGACTTTACATGTATTATCTCATAATCCTCCCCCAAATCCTGTGAAGTTATGTAAATGAGACAACTGACGTTTAAAAGGTCAGGGAACTTTTCCCAGGTCAGTAGTTTGTAAGTGATGGGGTAGCATTCCAATCCAAGTAGCATGGCTCTGAAGGCTGTGCTCTGAATTGTTAAACTGTGCTCCATTCCAAGGAGGCTGTAACTACCGACAATGTGTAAGATGCAAAGATTATAACATCACATTTTTAGAATGCTATTGGGGATATATATTTTTACTAGTACACACTTAGTTTGGTGCTTCCTTTTGCAGTGTTGGTTTTCATCAAATGTGTTGTGATTCTTTATCTTATTGATAGGTCAGGTCTAAAATGAATACGGTATAGGTAGCCACAGTGTGTTTTCCTTAGCGCAAATGAGAATCCCTATCCATCTCTCTGCCCATCATCCGTGTACATATTTCTTTTAGAGTGTGCAGGTAAGGTTGACCTATGGGCTTTATGGCTTCCATTCCATCTTGGTGACCCTAAACACTACCTCTCAGTTGGAGACTAAGAGTACCTCTTGAACCCCCATATTAAGCTTTGGTAACCCTGGGTGCAGGCATATGGAGACGTTGTTTTGAGAACCAGATCTGTTGAGGCCGTAGTTTAGTCCTTTGATTAACTTCTCCACCAGCAGATGATGGTGTCCTCCTTTCCTAGCCCCAGCTGGTTCTTATCTGGGGTTATTCTGGAGTTCTGGTGGAAAAATTCACTTTTGCAGAGGACATCTTCTCTTTTATTAGAATAAGAGTATGAGTTTCTGAGCCTGGTTGTCTTTTGTACTCAATATGTTTTTGTCTACTTTAAATCTTCGAGAAATTTTCCACTGTTCTGTCTGTTAGTTGTTCTCTTCTGGCTTTGTGGCACTACTAAGGACTTAACTTTTTATGATTTTTGACCTGAAGTTTGGGAAGAAAAGCATGCTTTTTCATTCAGCTACTTTGAAGCTACATTTTCTATTCCTGTTGTTTCTGAACTCTTGGTAATACAAGTCCATGATGTCAGTATACAATTCTAAAATCCTGCAAGCTCTTAAACTGCAAAGTTTTTTTCCATTTGGTGGCAAACCTAATTGATTTAAACTTGTCTGGTAGCAACATTGGACGTAAAGTAATGAGAGGCTATTTTGTAGTCTCAGTTTTTTGTACTTGGTATGACTAATTCATGAGTTCAGTTATGCGTTGCCTGTTCAGGGGGGAAATTTCGTAATATCTGATATATTATCTTATTACATTTCTAAAATATGAGAAATACTTAATCCTAATGCTCATCTAGCCCCCAGCTAAAAGATTGTAGGGCTTTATGCCATATAGGAGGACTTCACAGAGTAAAGAATTTTTTGAGAAGGACTAGAAAGTTTCTGGGTATAATGGGATTTGATTTTTGCTTTATATTTGAGTTTATGAATACTATGAAAATAGAATTGGAAAATACAGGCCGAAGAAGAAACTAAGTGAAAACGAAAAGACATTTCTATTGTAGAAGCAATATGTAAATCATAATGATATCTTTGCACTTCATCCTCAATGTACATTAACTAAAAAATACTGTATCTTATCTCATAATTCAGGGACGGAAAGCCACAATAGATAGTCATCAAGAACTATTTGCTCACTCAGCCCCAGACAGCATACCTGAGACTTTTGAAGATGCAGTAAATATACTACAGCCTTCAACTATAATTGGTAAGTAAAGTTATTTTGCTAAATAATTCCATTACTTCCCAGCTACTCGGGAGGCTGAGGCAAGAAAATTGCCTAAGCCCAGGAGTTGGAGGTTGCTGTGAGCTGTGACACCACAGCACTCTACCGAGGGCGGTAAAGTAAGACTGTCTCTAAAAAAAAAAAAAAATTCCATTACTTAACTGTTGTCACCAGTCTTAACTATCATGTAAGATTACTAAAAATAAATTGAAACTTATACTTAGCTTTCAGTGTATATGATGTTTTCTATGATAGTTTTTTGGTTGTTGTACGTGAAAGGTCTAGAACAGAGTTGCTTATACCTTTAAGTGCCAGACGCTAGGCAATTGATCATGCTTTGCTGTCAGAGCTGGTATGACTATTAGGCTCAAAACATAAGAAAAAAAGGTCATTTCTAGACTATACTAGGAAAATTCTATACAGAGTCAAAGACTTTCATTGGCAACAAAGCTGAAAATTTTATGTTTTGAGTTATAGGCATTGCATGACTATGTCATCATGGCTTTAAGTTCTCAGCAGAAAATGTTAGAATCTTTAAAAGAGGCTCGGCGCCTATAGCTCAACTGGCTAAGGCGCCAGCCACGTACACCTAAGGTGGTGGGTTCGAATCCCCAGCCCAGACCCACCAAAAAACACTGACGGCTGCAACCAAAAAACAGCCGGGCATTGTGGCGGGCGCCCATGGTCCCAGCTACTTGGGAGGCGGAGGCAAGAGACTTACTTGAGCCCAGGAGTTGGAGGTTGCTGTGAGCTGTAATGCCACGGCACTTTACCCAGGGGGACAGCTTGAGGCTCTGTCTCAAAAAAAAAAAAAAGAATCTTTAAAAGAGGTGCTATTTAATTTCCCATATAGTTGTAAGATCTGAATCTGTAATTTTTTTTTCTTTTTTTGCAGTTTTTGGCTGGGACTGGGTTTGAACCCACCACCTCCAGCATATGGGGCCAGCACCTACTCCTTTGAGCCACAGGCCCCACCCTGAGTCTGTAATTTTTCTGTTAATTTTATTTCATGCAGGAGCTCCATTGTATATTAAATGGTAAAACACAATCACAAACAGTAAGCTCCTATGATCAGGAAAAATATGTATTAGCTTCTCCATTGCTTGGAACTCAATTAGAATTTTTTTAGAGTGAGAAGAAATCTTAAAGGTCCTCTAGTTCATTTCTCTCAAAACACACCCTGCAGAGTTAAGAAATAAAATGAAAAAAATTTTTAATACAGTAGAATCTCTGTAAGTTGATCACTCAAAGGACTGTAATGAATTGGTCAACATACAGAGGTGGGTCATCATAAGGAACAAGGCACACTGTACTGATACATACATATACTTTAATTTCTTGTATAGCTTCCATTAGAGAATATCATACAAAATCATGCATAATCAAAATAGTAAAATCATAGGTACAGTATCATACAAAATCGATACATTCACTGTTTCTCGTGGTTTAATCTTTCTGGAAACAGAGTCAGTCTTGGTCTGTTTCTTATTACAAACATAAGTGGAGAAAGCACTCTCAATGCTGGCTGTACCACTCAATGTACCTAACCATTTTTCCAGCAGATGCCTGACATCCTCTTTCGGAGTCTCTGCAATTTCTGTGTCATCCATACTTGCTTCTTCCACTTCATCGGCTGCTTCATGCACTTTTACACTTGTCAGTATTGCTTGAAAAATTGCTTCTGGGTCAGGTTCATTACAGTTTGCTACCTCATCCCCCATTGCAACAAAATCTTCAGAATTCTGCCATGGGAGATGGACTGTCTGATAGGGCCAAACTCATGTTCTTGGTTTGTGACAAATCCCAATGCTCTTCAGACATTTCTGTATCATTTCTGGCTGAACTTTATTCCAAGCAAAACTAATCCAGAGGACAGTATCCAGGTGTTAACTGATGCAGTGGATGAAGTTACTTTCATGGGTGGACCACAGGTTAATGCTTTAGTAATGACCCACAGCAGGAGCTGAGCTTGGTTTTAAGTGCTTTGATGATGCCTTGATGAAGAGGTTACTTGGAGGTGGCCAGGACAGCTGTCTGCTGTGAGGAGAGTAAACCATTTCTTCTTCATTTCTCAGTTGATATCCTTACACACTTATCAAAAAGGGCATCTGTATGCATTTGTGTGATCTCCAAGTGATGGGGAGATTTTTTGGACTTCAGGTTCTTGAGTGTGCGTGGTTTTGCCAATTTCCCAGTCACCAAGGGCTTTAATTTCTCTCTGTTGAGCTTGCACAAAGTAGAACTATGAAATGTTCTGGAAAGTTTTCCACTCTTACATTTGTTACCCCTCATGATGAGGCTGCTGTCAGGCATCACTTTGAAAAGAGTCGACACTCATCAGTGTTAAATATGTTGTCATCTTTGAAGCCTCTGAAGAAGTCCAGGTACTTTTTGATGAACTCTTTCACAACTTCTGTTGGCACTTTGTTGGATTCACCACATAAGATTTTCTGGGAGATAATGTCACAGTTTAAATTTCTCAGGCCATCCTCTTGATGCTTGGAAATCTGTGTGAATGTTTTAGCAACTTCTTGGATCATCAGCCTGAAGACTCTGGAGTTAACTTCCCCTATTTGTTTCATGCAACTTAATGTTGCTTCGTTAAGTTCATTGAGGGAAAAGTTTTCACCCTTTTCCACTTTCCTTACATATCTGTCCAAGTGCTCATGTTTATGTTTCCAGATGTTGCTGACTATGGTCTTGCTAACACCAGAATGTTCTGCTGTCTTTCTTTGGCTGCTGCTTTTCTGAAAACGTAGAAGATCAACCTTTTCCTTCAGTGTCAGCTCTTTGAGCTATTGTGTCTCAGATATAAAATTTTTCTGTAATTGTAGGAGATACCAACTATTCAGACCAGTCCTTCCCATTGATAAAGTCTTCTGTAACACGACAAGCAATAGGACATTAGGCCCAATCCAACATGTGGGAATAATAAAACTATAAATTTCTTTTAATAATACACCTAAGGGGCAAAGCACAAATAGCTACTACTCCTTGGTGTAGAGTGAATTTAACTGGTCAAGTTACAGAGGGTAAATTAATATCGTGTGTCACAGTCCAACTGGTCAAGATACAACCTACAGAAGTGGGCAGTATATAGAGGTCAGTTTTCCACTGAGTATGTGTGGCACATTCCAGTCTGTGAAGATTATTAGGTCAACGTAAGGAGATGGTCAATGTAGGGAAGTGATCAACTATGGAGATTCTGCTATATAACTAATCTTACTGGGTGGACTATTTATTTAAGTACTGCTTCACTGGGGCCTCATGTAGTCACCCCCAAATTCCAACCATGACTTAAATAATCTTCCTTCATGCTGTGCTTCGACCACACTGCACACTTCTATCACAGCACCTATTACAGGTTTTCTGATTTTCTTTTCACTTTGTTGTTTTCCTCTCAACCATAAGCTGCCAGCATTGTACTCATTCTAATGGCCTAAAATAGTGGGACATTGCGGGAGCTGTATAAAAGGTCATTAAACTGAACTGCCTCAAGAAAGTGGATTGCTTTCATCAAGATGATCTTTATCCCTACTAGATTCTTACTGTTGTGTAAGGAGTATCACAGCATTAATAATTTAACAGTTAAGACACAAGTTTTTTGTTGGTTTGTTTTCTGAGACAGATCCTCAAGCTGTCACTCTGGGTAGAGTGCCATGGCATCACACCTCACAGCAACCTCCAACTCCTTAGCTTAAGTAATTCTCTTGCCTTACCCTCCCAAGTAGCTGGGACTACAGGCGCCCACCACAACATCCACTATTTTTTGGTTGTAGTTGTCACTGTTGTTTGGCAGGCCCAGGCTGAATACTAACCTGCCAGCTCTGGTGTATGTGACTGGCGCCTTAGCCGCTTGAACTATAGGCACCAAGCCAAGACACAGGTTTTATCTTTTGAAAAAAGTTTTTAACTGTGGTAAAATACACATAACATAAAATTCACCATCTTAATAATTTGTAAGGGTACGGTTTAGTATCTTTAAGTACATTCGCAATGTTATGTACAGCCAATCTCTAGAACTCTTCATCTTGTTAAGCTGAAGTTCTGTGCCCATTAAACCATTCCACATTCCCCCTGCCTTTAGCAACTACTATTCTACTTTCTGTCTCCATGAATTTGACCACCTCATGTGACTGCTTGAGGAATCACATGGTATTTATCTCTTTGTGACTGGCTTATTTTACTTAGTGTATACTCAAGGTTCATTCATGTTCTAGCAAGTTTTGTCTCTTAATTAGAGAGAGGAATGGACATAGTCCTTTTAAATTTTCCATCATTTACTATGTGTGTATTTAAGTGAAAACTTTCAGCAGTTTATTGTTTTTCTTTTCAGATTTGAGACTGTGTTCTCCCAGATTTGCATTGCTAAATAGTGCTGTCTTTGTAACGTCCTATTACTTGAGCTTTTGTTATGGTAAACCTACTGTGGAAATGCTGTTGTTAAGAAAGGCTTTTATACCTGTAATTGAAGTTGCCTTTTTCTCCCTTATTTATTATAGGAGTTGCAGGTGCTGGCCGCCTTTTTACTCCTGACGTGATCAAAGCCATGGCCCGGATCAATGAAAAGCCTATAATATTTGCTTTAAGTAATCCTACAGCACAGGCCGAGTGCACAGCTGAAGAAGCATATACACTTACAGAGGTATTAATTATAATGATAGGAGTTGATTAGGTATATTATTTTTGCTTCATTAGCTTATTATATATTCTTGCACAGTTCATTTAGAGGTTTGCCCATTATCCTTCCATGGGTCTTCAGAGTCTCTTATGAATTATTGGTTGTATCACTTCTGGAAAGCAGTTACCTTATAACTCCATTTTAATGTCCTTATGCTATTTGTACTGTTGTTGCTGTGCATTTTGATTTTCTATATATATGTAAACCCAAAAAACATTTTTGTTATTTCATTCATAAATCAATCATTTAGATTTACCTACATTTTTATTTTTTCTATCACTATTCTTTCCTGCATGCTTGTGCTTCTACATAGGATCATTTCCCTTCTGTGGGAATTGAACTCATTTCCTTAAGTGTGGATCTGATGAATTCTCTTGATCATTTCTTTATTTTGCCTTTATGTTGAAGGGTATCTACTCTGTATAGAAGGAACAAATAAGTTGGTTAATACTTGAGCACTTCGTAGATAACATTTTATTGTTTTCTGACTTCTGTTTTCCTTTTGATGATAACATCGTCGTGTCTTGAGTTTTTAGTAATTATACTGCAGTGGACCTAAGCATAGTTTTCTTTGTGTTGATTCTACCTGAGGAACATAGTGCTCCTGAATCTGTGGTTTAAGGTCAGTTTTTTGTTTAGTGTTTTGGAAAAATATCAGCCAGTAGCTCTGCTTTAGCTGCATTGTCTCCTCTTGTGGAACTCCAGTTACAGGGCCAGACTTTTCCACCCTGTCTAGTTTCCTTTACACTATTTTCTGTGCATGCTATCCTTTCTTCTCTCTGTATTTCAGTTGGTGGTTTTTTTTTTTTTTTTTGCACCTATCCTCCACTTTGCAGTTTCTCTTTTCAGCTGTGCTAACCTGTTACGTTCTTAGTTTTAGTTATTGTATATTTTTCATTTGTAAAATTTGTTTGGTTCTAATTATTATAATAACTTACTAATTTAGTGACAAACTTAAAATCATGTGCACTTATTAGAGAAATACTGTTTTCTTAAGCTAACATCTCATGAAAAATTCTTTTTACACTCTCCAAATGTATCCCCCCCTTTTTTTTTTAAATTTCAGATTAACGGGAGGGTGCAAACAGGTTACAATGTTTGCATTTGTTAGAAGAGTCCCTGTTTTAGTGTCCCACACCCAGGAAGTGTGCCATATACCCTTATATTGTGCCCATTAAGTGGGAACACACCCATCCCCTGCTTACTCCCCTCCTTTTTCTTTTGAGTAGATACCTAGTAATGGGAGTGTAGGATCAAATGGACTCTCCAAATGCATCTTTACCATCAGTGTCTCTCTTTACTAGAACCATTTTCTTAAGTCATCTGATAGCAGTGTGGAACAAATTTTTATTTACATTTAAATTATTTGAGATTTCAGTGCTTTTGGATTCTTTGACAATGCCACTGGGTTATATGCTATTTATAAATACCTACGTATGTACTTAGGACAGTTGGGTTTCCTCCTACCTTCTGTAGGAATGTACTTGTAATTTTCACATTTTCTCTATTCTTGAAAGTAATCTTTAAATAGTTCTAAGAAGTGATTTTTGAAGGCTTGTTTACAATGATATTTAGCAGCTACAATTGTTAGGTTATGCCCTTGATAAAAATTTGAAACACGTATAAAAGAGCAGATGGCATAATCAACTCCCATATACCAATACCTAGCTTCAGAAATAAAACAACTCATTGCTAATCTTCTTTTTCTGCATTTTACCCACCCCAGATCATTTTGAAGGAGATCTTAGCATATCATTTCATTATCAATATTATGGGTTTGATAATGTTATATCTCTCAAAAGTTAAGGGTTTTGTTTTGTTTTGTTTTGTTTTGAGACAGAGTCTCACTGTGTCACCCTGGGTAGAGTGCCGTGACATCACAGCTCACAGCAACCGCAGACTCTTTGGGGTTAAGCAGTTCTCTTGCTTCAGCCTCCCAAGTACCTGGGACTATAGGTGCTCGCCACAACACCCGCCTATTTTTTGTTGTAGTTGTTGTTGTTTAGCTAGCGCGGGCTGAGTTCAAACCTGCCACTCTTGAGGTATGTGGCTGGCATTGTAACCACTGTGGTACGGGCACCAAGTCAAAAGTTAAGGGTTCTTTAAAAAATGAAATCACGGCTCGGCGCCTGTGGCTCAAGCGGCTAAGGCGCCAGCCACATACACCTAAGGTGGTGGGTT